TCTTTATAGTAGAATGATTTATAATCCTTTGGGTATATACCCAGTAATGGAATTGCTGGGTCAAATGGTATTTCTGGTTCTAGATCCTTGAGGAATTGTCACACTATCTTCCGCAATAGTTTGAACTAATTTGCACTCCCACCAGCAGTGTAAAAGCATTCCTATTTCTCCACATCATCGCCAGCATCTGTTGTTTCCTGACTTTTTAATGATCACCATTCTAACTGGCATGAGATGGTATCTCATTGTGGTTTTGATTTGCATTTCTCTGATGACCACTTATGATGAGCTTTTTTTTCATATGTTTGTTTGCTGCATAAATGTCTTCTTTTGAGAAGTGTCTGTTCATATCCTTTGCCAACTTTTTGATGGGATTGTTTATTTTTTTTCTTGTAAATTTGTTTAAGTTCCTTGTAGATTCTGGATATTGGGGCTGTGTTCTGTAATATCTGAAGAGAGCTGTTAAGGAAAATAATGAAAGCCCAATAGACAGATGGGCAGTGGGAATAAGCAGTTCACACATACACAGAAAACAACATAACCAGCAAATAGAATAAAAGTTGCTGTGTTTCATCTACTATTAAAAGGATGGAAAAGTGAAACAATGAAGTAACATTTTTTCCCTACTGGATTGGCAAATATCTAAAAGAGTAATACAATGCGGCCAGAATATATATCCATAGGAACTCTCTCCTGCCCAGTTGGTGGGAAGGTGAATTGGCACAATCTTTTCATAGGTCAATTTGTCAATATTTGTATTGAATTTAAAAATGTGTATATCCTTGATCCATCAATTTTCACTTCTAGTAATTTATTTGTAAATGTACTGACATGTACATAAGGTATACACATAAGGATGTCTATCATAGCCGTGTTTGTATTAGGAAGATCCAAACAAAACAAAATAGAAGTGGAAAGCACTTAAGTGTTTAGCAGTACTCAGAGGACTAGTTAAATAAATTAGGATACATCTATAGAATAGAATACTTTTTCCAGTTCTTAAGCAGAATGTATTATTAGATTGGCTTGCATGAGCTCTCTGAAACATATTGTGAATAAAAGCAAGAAATAGTATAGCTTATGGGGTAAGTGCATTTGTGGTTTAACAAAATATATAAACTAGAATTTATACATGTTATCTGGAAGGAGGCACAGGAAACTGTTGATGATGGTTATCTCTGGGAGTTTGAAATGTGGGATGGAGAATGGGCTATTTTAATCTTATAGTCCCTTTTGAACAGTTGGAATTCTGTTTATTATGGGCATGTGCAGTTTTCACAATAAAAAACAAAGGTTTTTTGTTTTATGTGCACTACTTATATTTTTTTTCTTGGATTTTTCCAGATTTCTCTTGCACTTTGCTTTGTTTTGATGTTTGGGAACTCAATGTTGTTAACTTCTTATTATGCTTCTTCTTTGGTAATTATTTGGGTAAGTATTAACACTTATATGGCTATTTTTGAAACTAGTGGTTTAACAATTTTTTCTTCACTGACTTAGGATTCATGAGGGCTTTCTGTAGGAACCATCTTAGGTGTCTTACTGAATATACTAGATGTGATGGTGTTCAAGTACTCCTAAAACAGGAAAAAAAAAAAAAAAGGAAAACTTAGTATCATTCCAGAAAGGTTTCTATGCTTTCTTCTCCCTTCCTCCTTTCCATTTTTATTCTACTACTGCTCCACTTTTTGAACCCCTTTCCTCTCATTGCAATCTTTATAACAGCCACCCCTCTGCATTCCACTGTGATCAGAAGATCAAGGCCTTGGTTACTTTGTTTTTTGTTTTTTGGGTTTTTTTGGTTTGTTTTTTGCCCCTTGTCTACTTGTATGGACTGTTCAGATGGTTTAAGTAAGGTGATGATTCAATTTTATTTTGCTAAATCACTACCAAGAACATCTTTAGATTATGGAGAGATTATTTTACAGAATTAGAACAAATTGATGGAAGGTCATCTAATTCCTTCTACCACATTTGGCAGGATGACTTTATTTTTTTGTTTGTTTTGTTTTGTTTTGTTTGTGTGTGTGTGTGTGTGTGTGTGTGTTTTGACAGAGTTTCGCTCTTGTTGCCTACGCTGGAGTGCAATGGCGCAATCTTGGCTCACTCCGCCTCCTGAGTTCAAGCGATTCTCCTGCCTCAGCCTTCCGAGTGGCTGGGATTACAGGCATATGCCACCATGCTCGGCTAATTTTGTATTTTTAGTAGAGACAGGGTTTCTCCATGTTGGTCAGGCTGGTCTCGAACTCCCGACCTCAGTTGATCTGCCCACCTCGGCCTCCCAAAGTGCTGGGATTAGGTGTGAGCCACCATGCCCAGCTGGCAGGTTGACTTTGTAAGTCTAAAAGTCTTCTGAAATTTACAGACTGCCTTTTTTTTGGTGGGTTTCCATTAAAATGTTTTGCAAACTTATTATTCCTTATGTTTAAAGTGCATGTGCTTTAGTTTCCCAATGACTTTAAAAGTGTATTGCACTGTCGTAATTGGAATATATTCTACTTCCTGAGTAATTAAGTTACTTAGATCATTTGGGGTTTCTTAATTTCTAGAACCCATTACATTTGAAACCTCCGTTTTCATTTATTTTACAAATAATATTTATTTAAAAGCCCATTTCTTGACCGAGTGCAGTGATTCATTCCTGTAATCCCAGCACTTTGGGAGGCTGAGGCGGGCGGATCATGAGGTCAGGAGATCGAGACCATCCTGGCTAACAAGGTGAAACCCCATCTCTACTAAAAATACACGAAATTAGCCGGGCATGGTGGCGGGCGCCTGTAGTCCCAGCTACTTGGGAAGCTGAGGCAGGAGAATGGCGTGAACCCAGGAGGCAGAGCTTGCAGTGAGCCGAGATCGCGCCACTGCACTCCAGCATGGGCGACAGAGTGAGACTGTATCTCAAGAAAAAAAAACGCATTTCTCAAAAATATGCCTCTTCCCAGTCTGGGTCACCACCCTTTTCAGGTTGTGCCTTGAGTATACTTAGCTACAGAAATTAGCAATTAGCATGATGCTGTATTTTCAACAACAACAAGAAAAATCATAACTTTGGGATTAATAAGTATAGTTCTTCGGTTCTGTGTACTCTGTTTATTATTAGGAAAGGTGACAAAGTACTCAGTTGTATGTTTTACATATGTACTTTGTCATGTACTGCTATCACCCAGGATAAAGTACATGAATCTTGGTACTATAGACAGGGAAACCATTGAATCGAATATTACATATAAATAAAATCTAATTTAAGTACATTTTGTAGGACACTTCAGTTCTATATGTCAGGTATGCTGCTAGATGCACTGAGGTGCATCTTAGGTGTGAATTAAGTATATTTATGTGTATTCCATATATTTTGGTGTATTAAATGATAACAGGGAATACAGCATGTTTGTGCATATTTAACTATAAACACACATTTGTATATATTTATAATTAATCACTTTGAAACCTAAATTGTATCACATTTTGTATTCTTAGGTATTTAGAAACTTCCAAAAAGATTTAATTTGGTTTCAAGTATTTATGTCTGGATCTCTAATCATATTTTTGCCATGTTTGAAGTAGTTTTAGCTCCCCAAGGGTAATACAGTTTGGGAGCATTACCACCTGAAAAATACTTCAGAGAAGTATTTAGTTGATCCATTAAAATTTCATTTGTTGTTTACCCTAAGAGTCAGTAATTTTTAGCTAAAGGAAATCTTATCCCTGTATGACTGCTGTCCAAAATTCTGAAAATATTATATATCTCGTGGCTCAGAGATAAATCAGATATGTCAAATCAGTCATAGACATTTACATATGGTGATTCTTTTTTCAACTGTAAAAAGTCATGCACTCACCTAATTGACTTTGGATAATAGGGCTGTACCTTGAAGTCACTGACTATAGAAATGAGCGTGTGGATGGTATGTGGAAAGATGACTATGTGCTACATTTTATATACTTGAGAATCTGTATTATTTAGAAGAATTTTTTGGTACTTGAATTTATGTCTATAAGTATTAACTGTGTATACTATGTTATTTTCTCTACTCAGGGTATTCTGGCAATGAAACCACATTTCCTAAAAATAAATGTATCTGAACTTAGTTTATGGGTAAGAATCAATCTATTTTAATGCTTATGTTTTTTCTTCTCTAATATATGTCATTGGTTTTATGTTTTACTTTTAAGAAAATGATCTATGTAATTCAGGGGATCCAACAGTTTCATAGTGTATTAGGGCTCAATTTTAATGTACCAAATTGCCCTTTTTATGAAACAAGTTAAAGTTAATCCTGGGTATGTAGTTTAAAAATTCCAGTTTTATTTATTACTCATGTTTTATCTGAGAAACAGTGCATGTATGAAAATCTGTTAAAGGGAATTTAACTGCAGTGATTGTATAAATCTTCTATAAAATATATTAATTTTGATAAGATTGTATGATTATATTTTTATTTTTAGTTATTGCCCCTTGATTTTGAACAACATGCTTGATTTTATATTGAGATGCATTTTTTAGCATTTTGTCTTGTAGACAGCAATATATATTTCATGTATGATTAAAGCATTTATTTTTTTCTTCCTAGCCTATGTCTGTGGAATATGAAGCATCAAAGTTATTTTTGTTTTCTTTTTTTAGGTTATTCAAGGATGTTTTTGGTTATTTGGAACTGTCATACTTAAATACTTGACATCTAAAATTTTTGGTATTGCAGATGATGTAAGTGCATTTTTTGCTTAAACTTGAAAGACTTGAATAGGCTAAGAATAAATTGAGTTATTCAAATATTACTATTAAAATGAAATTCTAGGATGAAGTCTGTTCACCTATTATTTTATCTATTTAATATAATAGAAAGTAAATGTAATTGTATATAGATTTTCATTCTCCAAAATTAGTTTCTTAAAACAATCTCTTATTGTATTGGTCCTTCTATGTCACTAAAATTTTAAAGCAGGAAAACTCTAGAGATTAAAGATCGAATTTTAAGGTCTATACAGACATTTTTCTCTAGCTTATTTTTAACTGGTAAAGACACCATCTTCAGAGCCTTAACTGGAGATCGTATTATAGTCTCATTCTTTTTTCTCCCCAGTTTTCAAGTCATTACTTGTAAAAGGCTTTTATAAGCCTTTATAGATAATTTAATCCAAGTTAGTCTGATTTAGAGAAGATTTTTGCTTGTTTTTGGTATTGGGGTTGAAGGGAAGATAAAATGGAGAAGTCTGTCTTAAAAATTTAAGGATTCTCCCTGTCCATAATTGCTTTGCCTATTTTATTTTGGTGTTCTAATCAGCACATCCTAAGTCAGGAGGCTGTCAAAGATTTAATTTAAAAAAGCAGCACAAGAACCAATATGCAAAAAATAAACTACTTTTTTTCCTATAATTTATTTTTATTGGTGATTTTCTTCTTTCTGTACTAGATTAATGTTATGGTTTTGAAACTGGGTTATGTGAAGTCCTAGGACTTCCCAGGACTCTTCCCTGAGAGCTATGTACTCCCCCATCTCCTAGCCTCTCTTACCCAGGGCAGTTTAACCTTAATCTCTTTCATACAGGTTTTCATAAGAGCAAGGGTTGTTTTTGCTTAAAAGATTGAAAGCACATGGACCGTTAAATGGGTGGTCTACAATCTGTGGAAAAATTTTTAAAACTTTAAAACTATAGTTGAAAATGTATTCATTCATTCATTCATTCATTCATTCATTCATTCATTTAGTACTTCCTGTGTGCCTGACAATGGAAAGTATCCTAGAGATACAAAACTGAGTAAGGTATGGTCTAGCAGAAAATTCAGAAAATAGGAACAATTTCTAGCAGTTATAATACAGTGTAATAAAGGCTATGATAAAAAATTAAGTACAGAGTGCTGCAAGAATACACAGGAGGAGCATTAGGGAAGGATCCTGGAAGTCATCTGAGGATGACAGCTGAAAGGTGGGTGAGTCAGCCAGTATGCAGAGCACAAGCAGGAAGACAAGTAAAATAACCCTAGTCCTGCATTTATGGAATCTCTTTACCTCACTGGGGAAAAATGAACCAGTTAAGGTATTAATTCAGGTTAAAGCAATTATTGTCATTTTCTGTCATAGCCTAAAATTATGCCAGGGCCAAGAAAAAGATGCTGAAAACTATGTTATTTGCAAATTAGAAATAACTTAGTTGTAACTTTAGTCTTTTTAGAAATATGTAACGTTGATCAAGGGCATTGGCTCATAAGTTCTTAACTTTGACATTGGTTAAAGGAAGAGAGTGGCAAGGCTACCCAGCCTTTCATTTCCTACTGAGTTCTCTACTTTTACTGACAGTGCCTCTGAGCGTAGACTTTTAGCTGCCCGCCCCAAATCGGGTCAGCCTGCTCCAGTAGTGAAAGTTCTTTTTATGACCAGCCACACTCCGTCCTGCCCCCTTCAAAAGAACTGTTGCACTAACAGTATGGGGGAGATGAGGGTGGTACCTAGGTGGATGGGAGCAACCTAGGTAAAAATGCCGCAGACTCCCACTGTTTTTACCCAGAGTTTCTCAGTTTTTTATGAATGAATGCTTCCCACGTCGTTGCTTTCTTTTGATTAATCTCTAGAACCCGATACGAGTGTTTTTTTTTTTTTTATAATTTTGTCCAGTTTTAAAGTTGTTTTGGAGAATGGGAAATACTAGTTTCTTCACTCTGTGGTATTTGGAAGTCGACACATTTTTTGATATACGAGTGTTGATGCAGCTTATATCCTGGGGTAAACCTCACCTGCTCAAATGTAGTATTTCTTTTCTATATTGCTGGATTTGGTTGGCTAATATTTTTAAGGATATTCGTCTGTTATTCATGAGGAATATTCGTTTTAGTTTTCTTTTCTTGTAATGATTTTGTCTGGTTTTGGCTTCAGGGCAATGTCATCTCCTAAAATTATTTGCAAGTGTTCTGTCTCCTGTTTTCAGAGAGATTTTTGTGTAGAATTGGTACTATCTCTTCCTTAAGTGTTTGGTAGAATTTGACATGAAGCCCTCACAGCCTGGAGCTTTCTTTTTGTGTAGGTTTTTTACTACAAATTCAGTTTCATTAGGAATCTCTCCAGTTCATCTGGAGTGAACTTTGGTAGTTTATGTCCTTAGAGGAATTTTGCCTATTTTTTATATGTCATCAAATGGATAATGCTTTTTGAGTTTAGTCAGTTAAAATTCTTATTGGAATTTTTGTGTATATGCATATATGGGAAGTGATCTTTTTGTTCTTTGATTGGCTTCTCCTTATTTGGATTTGGAATTAATATTGGCCTCCCATTAAGAGCTGTTGTGGTTTTTGTTTTTTGTTTTTTTTTTGTTTGTTTGTTTGTTTTTTCTTTCCTACTTTCTGTCAACTTGGGAAAGTTTTTTTTTTTGAAAGTTTAATAATTCATCTATGTTAACCATCTCAGTCTAGGGCTTTTTGGGAGGGAAAATACTTGATTTCTCTTTCAGATATTTGAATGCTTTTTGTTCTATTCAAGTTTTCTATTTATTTTTGTTGGTGTTTTATGGGGTTCCAGAAATGTATCCATTTTACCTAGCTTTTACAATTTATTAGCAAATTGTGTAGCCTATTCTTCTTATTTTAATTATGTTGAGTCCATAGTTATTTCTCCCTTTTTCATTTTGCTTTTTGTTTGCATCTTTTATTTCCTTCATTGGACTTGCTCTAGAGGTCTGTTGTTTTAATATTTTTAAAGTTACACCTTTTTTCAGTCCCCTTTGGTTTTGTTGTGTTTCTCTTTGTCACCAATTCCTGTCCTTATTCTTAGATCTTTTTGTTTCCCCTCTTCTGATGCCCAAGGGAAATGCTTAGCTCTGTTGTTTTCACCTCTCTTATTTTCTGATCAATGCTTTTAAAGCTAAAATTTTCTTATAAGTGCATAGTACTTCTTTATATATCTTATACATTGGCTATTTGTGATTTTTTTTTAAAGTTTTATGATATTTAATTTCTAATCAAAAAAAATTTAAAGCAATTTTTAGTTATTTTCTAGTTTTATTGCATTTATAATCAAATATATGTATATATTTGGAATTTATTGTTGCATGGTATGTGAATATTCAAAAATATTTCACTTGTGTTCAAGGATAATGTGTACTCTTTTTGTGAAGTTTATATTCTCTGTTTGTGAGCTAGTTGATTTTATTCACCTTTTATGTTAACTTTTGTCAACTTTTTTATTCAAGGAGGCAGTGTTTAACATTTTCAGTGAACACTGTCAACTTTTCTATTTCTTCCTTTAGTTTTTGTCAGTTCTTATTCTGTGTACTTTGCATCTATATTTTTAACTGCAGATATGTTGGCAATATGTATAATCTTGCTTTTTTGTTGGCAATATGTATAATCTTGCTTTTTAATGTAATATGTAATATTATATTATAATAATATATTTGTCTCTTTTCATGTATTTTTTGCTTGAATTCAGTTTTGTGAGACATTATAATTGCTAACAGATTTGTTTTAAACTTGCATGGTATATCTTCTTCCATTCTTCTATTTTCAACCTTTCAGCATACTTATAAATATTTCTTTTGGTGACAACATAATATTAGATTTTTTCCCCTTAAGTCCAATTTGAGCATCTGCCCCTTAATTAGTGAATTTATGCTCTTTACATATATGCTAATCTTTATAATACTAGGACTTATTTCTTTTATTTTGTTTGGGATTTGTTTTTTTCTGCTATTTTAGGTGCCATATATTCTTCCTATTGATTTCTTAAACTTATCAGCATACATTTCTTCTCCCAAGAAGACACAGTATTTTGAAATGCTTCATCACATACCTGCCACCATCTATTTCCTACTCTTACCCTATTCCTTCTGCTTCATGTAGATATCATATAGAATTTAGTCATGGTTTGTCCTAGATATAATTTCTCCTCTTTTCTTTGGTCATTGCTTTTGTAGACTATAGTGAACTTGAACATTTGGCAAATGTATTCTGTCTTTGTGCCCTAGTTTTCTTGTTTTTAAAGTGAAAATAATTCCACCTTCCTCACATGGCTTTTTGTGGGAGGTAATGTGGCAGTGTGAGTGAGAATGCTTGATAACATGTGAATAATTATGTGGGAGGTGATTATCAGTCAAAAAGTACCTTTTATTCCAATGCCTGCCGATTTCTACTTCACTCAAGTACCCTTTTCAATCTCCTTTTCAGAATTAGTATTTCCTTTTCTTTACCCCATAGCCCATTGTGCTTTTATGATTAAGAGATGTCTGTATGTGTTCTCAAGCCCAGAGCTGCTGGTAGGCTCCAGCAAGGGAGATACTGTGTAGCCTGTTACACCAGGTTTAGCACAGTAAACTGGGAAAACCCAAAGGAAAAAGCCTTTGGGATGTTGATGAGTGTGGAAGGTAGGGTGTCGTTGGAGCTATCACTATTCAGCAAAAGAAGGGAACTGTGAAGGTGGAGGGTATAGCATTTCCTTTAACAAAAGCAACCTTGGTATGGGAACAGTAGACTGCATAATGTAATGAAAACTATTTTCAGATACTATTGAAATTAAAATATATTATTGCAGTGTATGGCTTAATGTAATGGTAACTTTATTTCTTACCAGGCTCATATTGGCAACTTATTAACGTCAAAATTCTTCAGTTATAAGGATTTTGATACTTTATTGTATACCTGTGCAGCGGAGTTTGACTTTATGGAAAAAGAGGTAAGATGTGATTTCCAGTTCTGTTTCCTAAGGTTTTGGTCCATACATTTTTCATAAAGGGTGCTCCTCTTATATCAGACTCTTTATGTGCTGTTATCTCAGTTTGATGGAAAAGGAAAATCTGGCAGCTTAGAGGAAGATTTTTCTATTTACATTAGTGCAGCTCCCTGGAATATATGGCCTTTACTCATTTTGATAATTTAGAAATAACACATTCAGACGAGCAGTGGTTTTCTAGGTGAGTAAACACAGAGGCATTTCAAGTTGCCATTTTTCTGTGATAGCATTAATTTAGTCAGGCTCTCAAACTCTTACATTTCCACTCATTTTGTGGTTATTTAAATAAATATTTGTTTTGAAACATCAAGTCCAGGCTTTTCATTCCAACAGCATTTTTCTTTCTAAAACTGTATTCAGAGATTTAGAAGGAAAGCAGAGAGTAGTTTAGTGGATTGTGAGACAGAAGCCTGCAATTTTGCTTGATGTTCTTGAACAAGCAACTCTCATTCCTCGTGTTATAGTTTACTAGTTTCTAGTAGCATGCCATAAACAGATATTGTGAAGACAAAATGAGATAATACATAGGAAAGTACTTTGATATTTTAAATATATAAATATTTAAATAAATAAAATATTAATTTGCAATACTTTATGAGCTGGTTTAGTTCAACAGACATATATATATGTGCCTTTTTAACACCATCAATGTGGTACTGATTAATTATATTATCTGTGTCACCCCTTCAGAGTGGTGTGTGTGTATATGAAACTGGCCAACAATACTCTATTGACATGTTAGTTTCCCTCATGATCCCACTGTGTTAGCCCAGAGTCCAGAGTTCCAGACCAGTGGATGCCAGGGCACCACACAGGAAACTTTTATCTACCAGCCGTTCGGAGTTGAGTGTGTTCTGCAGAGGTACTCTTTACTCCAGTGGCCTGTCAGTCTTCATTTATTGTGTTCTGGCAAATGGCTTTGACACACAATGACTGACAAAGATATATGAGTTTTAGTGTTAAACCCGCTGAAACAAACGAAGCATATCTTGCAAGACATTGAAATGCATGTTCATAGGGGATCAAGACTCCTTCAAATATTAGAGAATTAGGATGTGGTGGAAGTTCTTTAACGTTATTGAGAACATCATACATACTGCTACAACCTGAGAGTATTAAACATAAGTTATGTGATGAAAGAAATAATTTATTGAGGCATAGCATGACTTCAGCTAATTTGAAGAAAATAGCAAAGCTCTTTCCAGCATGCCATTCCGCATCACTGTATGTATCTGAATTCATCGGGACTGTGCTGTAGAGACAGAGTAGTGTCAGTTCAGAGAACATATGTTCCAATTATAGTACACCCATACAGTGTATTGTGTGGTACACCCATACAATACCCATAACATGCTATTCCTAACATGATATCATACTGACATGGAAAGATGCTTAAGATATATAATGGAGTAAACAAAATGATATAGTCTTATTAACCCATAATTAACACACATAAAAGTAAAAAAAGTGTAAAAGAGCAACATTTTAACAGTGGTTTTTTGGGTGGAGAGATAACTGAGAGGTGCACAGGATCACAATGTGTAGGGCTTTGTTATTAAACTTATTTCTATTTTTTTCTGCTACTAAAGAAAATGTAAAAGTCTTTTGCTCCCCTCAAACGTCGATCATTATTTTGTTTATGCATGAGAGAGAAAGAGAGAGTGTGTGTGTGCGTGTGTTTCAAGAATTATATTTTTATCCCCCACAAAATATACAGGAAAAGCTTATTCCATTTAAAGGAACTTTACATACCTTAGATGACTATTAAGTTGGTCTCTCTAGTTAGATAAGTAGCATGCAAAAAGTGAACAGTAATCTCTTCAGTCACATGTCACACTTACAGAGGTTTAGGTACCGTATTTTCAGTGTTTCAACTCAGCATTTTGGGGCAGTTCATTTCTGTGGAAATACACCTTCCTTTTTATGATGGCAGGCAGTGGGTAGATTGGTGAATGTTCATATTTCTCTACTTTCAGAAATTTACCCATTTCATTATTTGAAATGAAATTTTGTTTGGTTAAAATATTTCCTTCAACAAAACATCTCTTTGAATTTCAGACTCCACTGAGATACACAAAGACATTATTGCTTCCGGTTGTTCTTGTAGTGTTTATTGCTATTGTTAGAAAGGTATGTCTATCACTTAAGAGCTCTTTCTTATAATAGAGTATTTTCTTGTTTTTACATAGTACTTGCATATACTTGGCCACATATTAATATGATACAATGTTTTTTATGGGCTTACTATAACATGTTCTATGTTTTCTTAATGATAGTTTTTGATAGACATTTATATATCTTCAAAATATTCTATCTGCTAGCATAAAACAGACATCGGAAAAGGATGGCTCAAGTTTAGATAGTCAGGTATTTTGGAAGACATGAACAGAGACCATATTGACCCAGATACAACTTGCGTGTGTAAATTATTACTGGCTTCTACCTTTAATGTAATATTTCCCTAAAATATTTAATATATACCTTTCTAAGTGATTTGTGCAGTGTACAGTAACTCCTGTGTTTATTATTAATCAGAAAGAAAAAAACAGAGTATTTGCAATGTGTTGATGAACTAGATAAAAAATGTTTAGGTCCCCAACTTGGCTTTGATAATAAAATTCTAAGCCCAGATATAAATAAGGTCAATGGAAGTGTGATTTTTCCTCTCTTTTTTTCTTTCAAGAATTGTGCACTCTGTAACCAAATGTGTCTTAAGAGAATGAGTAGAAGTTAATCTGTGATGGAAAAAGAGATGACAGACCTTAAAAGTTTCCTGATCTGTAGCCAGTGATTTCTGTGTTAACACAATTTCATTTATTTGTAGACTATTCTGTATGATAACAATTGTTCATATTATGTATTTGTACTCTGCTTTGTATGGAACATTTTCACATGAGTATTTAAATTGGTTATATGACAGCCCTGTCGGGTAGACAAATGTTATCCCCATTTTAACATATGGAACTGAAAGATCAAAGATGTTGTTAGAAGCCTCACATCATGTCCACTTAAAATCTAGGGAAGAGTGAGACTCGGGCTCTGCACCTTCCCTGTCATAGGGCTACATCTGGTATTCAGCTGTGTACTCCAACAGCACTTTTCATCTCTAATCAGTTAATAGTTCCTGCTGTGCGCTAGGCTTTGTGTGTGCTTTGCACTTTTATACACTTTATGTGGATGTGCACCTAGTGGGTACTCAAAAAATACTAAGCATTAGCCATCCAGAACATATGCAAAAGACAGGATCCTGAGTGGTGAGAGATGATGAAAACCATTAGTTAGACTGTTTCATTTAAAGAAGAAAAGATTCAGATGGAAAGCGGATAATTATTTTGAAATGTGTTAAAAGCCTGCCCCTTGAAAATAAGGTTACACACAATCTGGCTCCTTAGAATCATGGCCAATTCCAGGTGGTAGGACTTATGACCAGAACTGATCTCGACAGATAAGGAAAGTGTTATAGATTCAAGCAGCAGCTGAGTGGTTCTTCTAAGGGCTGGATTACAACCTGTCAGCAGTGTTGTAGAGAATGTTTTACTGGAGATAGGATTTTAGATTAGACGACCTCCCGTTATTGCTAAGTATGAAAGCACAGTGACTGTGTTTTGAATGTTTCTAGCAGTGATTATCAACCTTTGAGCCAACTCTCCAGTTTTCTGTGTGTACTGTTAAGGAGAGGTGTTGCCAACAACGTTGGCATGGTGGAAGCAGCACTGAATGTGAATTTGAAGCCAGAAGATCTGGTTTCAAGACTGCAGTGCTTCTTAGTGGTTGTCTGCCTACAGGGTGATCATTTAATCCATCTGAGCTTGTTGCTCATTTGCAAAATGAGGATGATATCATCTACCCAACAGGGCTGTTGAATATTAGCTTTGATCAGATACTACACAAATATAAGATTATGTTGTTGTGATTATTATTTTCTGAGTTATCTCTTATCTCTATACTTATATTTTCATTAGAAGTTTTACAGTTTAAAAGATACTTTGGTTAAAATATTGTTTTTCCCAACACAGCCTTTCTAAAGTGTTTCAAAATCTGTTTACAGGTTATTAGTGATATGTGGGGTGTCTTAGCTAAACAACAGACACATGTAAGGTAAATATGCTATTAAGAATTTTATTACCTCCTCTGTTCATTTATTAAATAGATATTTACAGTGTATTAATTTTATACTTACATGTTGTGTACCTAATATTTGATAATACGTATTTTTTTGTGGTCCATTCCCTTCTTGGCGTCTCTTCTTATTTCCTATCTGTGTAGAACACAGCACATCACTTATTCACCCTTCAGATGTCATCCAGTACAATCTGACAGTAGCCCTGCACATAATCTACACTCGAAGGACACAGTTTTGTACTTCAGTTCAGCAGGGAAAGTAAATTATTATGTGAGTCGTTTTAGGACCAGTGGACTGCCTTTTGGGAAATGAACAGGGAAATATAAAACTGGATTCATACTTCTCACTTTTCACAGAAAATAAATTTTAGATGAAGCAGAGAATTAGGTATAGGAAAAAAAAACCCCAAAATTAACCAAGAGAGTATGTTTATAATCTAAGAGTTAGAGAGGCCTATAGCATGCTTGGTATTTTCCTCCATCGCACCCTTTATCTTACTCTCTTACCATTTATCACCCTTTGTACTTAAATGTTGATGTGTGACCTGTGTCTCCTGAAGGGAGCGACCATTTTTGTTCAACAGTTTATATACAGTGCCTGCAAGATAGTAAAAAATAGTAGTTGAATGAGTGAGTATTTACATATGACTAATGAACGTGAAAAGGTAGTCTTGATCCTATGGTAAAGACATTCAGGCTAAAGTGAAGACCTTTTCACTTCTCATATTTCTAAAAAATAATAGTATATCCAGTGCTTGCAAGAGTGGGAGGTAGTGGATGGGAGGGAAGTTTGGCAGTACACAGTAAACATGTAGTAGGCCTGCCCTTCAGCCCTGCAGTTCCACCAGTGCAAGTATACCTTCTAGAGATGCTCACAGAAATACAGAGATGATGGGGAGAAATGCCTTTGGTAGTACTGTGTGTAATGTGAGAAATGGAAACATCCAAAATATCTCCTATGATCCAATCATAGAGTGGAATGTTAGGCCATCTTTATGGAAATAGGTCCAGTATACATTATTGAATTTTAAAAATTGCCTGTGTGTGTGTGTGTGTGTGTGTGTAGGATAATTATACTTCTGTTTAAAATTTGGAGATTTTTGTGTGTTTGTGCATAGAAGTGATCTGGAAAGATAAATCCTGTAATTATTAAGAGTGTGGGATTGGAGGATCGAGTGAATGTAGTTTTAACTCTGCTTTTATTTTTTTGTGGGATTTTTGGGGGACAAGGATTGTTCAATGTATGTATCTATATGTGTGTGTGTGTGTGTGTGTTTGTGTGTGTGTGTGTGTGTGTGTATATATATTTTTGAGACAGAGCCTCTCTGTGTTGCACCGGCTAGAGGAGTGCAGTGGCACAATCTCGGCTCTTCGCAACCTCCGCCTCCCGGGTTCAGGCGATTCATCTGCCTCAGCCTCCTGAATAGCTAGGTGACCACCACCACGCCTGGCTAATTTTTGTATTTTTAGTAGAGACGGGATTTCACCATATTGGCCAGGCTGGTCTTGAACTCTTGACCTCGTGACCTGCCTGTCTTAGCTTCCCAAAGTTCTGGGATTATAGGCATGACCCTATATTTTATAATTTGAATATACACACCCTTATATTATTCCCTCACCTCCAAGTCTCTGCCAACATAATGATAAATTATTGTACATACTCCTGAGAGAATCCTTGTTCTCATTTAGAAACAATTTGCTGTAACTATGCCTTTGTTTATACCTGTAACATTTGAGTTGAGGACTAAGGGGGAAAGAAAAGGTTCTGGTTTACAATGCCAAAATTTTTCTTCATTTGAGGTGCAATTATTTTTGAAGAGCTGAGGAAGAAGCTACGAAATTTCAGCTCTAGTATGCAACTCTGGAAGAGGAAGGTAGAACTTTTCACAGAAACAAAGCTGTCCCTTCAAGAATAATAACTCACCTGTGGAAACAATTATAGGGAACCATTGAGTTTCATGGGGTTTTCAGTTCAAATAGCATCAGAGCTCTTTTTTGGAAGAGGAGTGGCATGTTGACATTTTATTTTGCATAACTACCAAAGCCCGTGTAAAAAGGGGAAGAGTAGGACATAAATCTTAACTATGAAAGACGTGAATGCCAATATTCTCTTTACTCAAAGATCCAGGAAGTAAAGTGGGATAGAGGCAGCATGATGTAGTAAAAAGTATGTTGGTTCTGAAGTCAGTCAGAATACAGTCCTGGCTGCTACTTAGTAGCTCTGTGATTCCCTTTCCTTGGGTGTAAATTGGGGTAATAAATGGTTGTAGGATTAGAGTTAATGGAATGTACTAAGCATATTAACATTGTAAGTACTCAACAAATGGTAACTGATAGTTTTTACTAGGTGTCAAAAAAGAATAAAGAAAGAACTGTTTCATCTCCTTCACTACCCCCTTATGTGTCCTGAGTTTGCTAATATATCAGTCTTTTTGAGGTCAGATTCTCAAATTAGATTATATGCTACCTGGATTAACAGTTTATTGATACATTTGTTCATTCATTAAAAATGTTGAGCTCTAAGTGCCAGGTATTACTCTGGGTCTTGGGAACGTATCAGTGCTTAAGAAAGAGAAGGTGTGTGTTGTCAACTCACACATTCCCGTCTCTGACCAGACTTCTCCCTTGAGCTCAGATTTACACATATAATCATTTATTTGTCATCTGTGCTTGGTTGCCTAGTGAAAATCTCGAAGATTTTTTTCATTCCATGCTTTGCTGGGGTATCACCAGTGAGGGAGCTGGGACACCACAGTGTGCCTTTGTTGTCCTAATAAATACCCATCTAATCACATAGTTAGGATATAATACAACATTGTCCTTCTTCATTAACTTTCTTAAAAGAATATAGCACTAGTTTTGGCATGTGACTTTTAGTTATTTTGATTTGCCTCTATGTGTCCTGAGAGAATGTTATAGAAGTTGTAAAACTCCTATTTACAAGATGAAAATGCAAATATATGAAGTAAGTGCTTCAATAATGAGTTGATAGCAATATATTTTTTTCTGTTCCAGAAAACACCAGTTTGATCATGGAGAGGTAAAGACTTAATATCACTATAATTTTACTATCTTAAAGTTGCATGCATTTGGACTTTCCTTTCTAGTTCCATTTTCTAACTTTGTTGGCAATTGTCAGCAATCATCTTGAAAATAACCTGGTATGTGTTTTTATGAGAATGCTACATGCAGATTCACTGACCATTCATTTGTTAAAATTAACTAGGAAACTCATTTGTTATGCTCTGACAGTTGATTTCTGGAGCCCATTTAGATATACATATGAGATGTCTGTTGCACAATTGGAAATCACTTTCCTCTCTGCTCACCTTGCCTGAGTCCTCAGAGATGTGATCAGTTACTGCTCCCATCTCCTAGTGGTCCAGCCTGGTTTTGAGGGCAGTTCCAAAATGGAGCCCTCAGATCTTGAGGCAGCAGTCATTTCTTTTACCACTGTCTTTTCTTGGTCTGATGGTAGCATCCAGGTAGATTCAAAAATGTGGGCTTTATTAACCACAGGTTTGACTCTGAGAATCACAGAAGCACTTGCCTTCATGACTTGATAATTTTAGCCTTCCACTAAAATGGAACAGTTTGAAAGTGAATTTTAAGAATTGCTTTAGAAATTTCAGAAACCTAAGTAGTAGTACTTTTTGTTACTAAGGAGAACATACCCCTTTCTACATATTGCCAGCTTAGTATTCTTAAACTTCACTAACAGTAGGAGTAAAAAATATTTTCTTCTTTCTTTCAGCTGGTTTATCATGCTTTGCAATTGTTAGCATATACAGCCCTTGGTATTTTAATTATGAGACTAAAACTCTTCTTGACACCACACATGTGTGTTATGGCATCACTGATCTGCTCAAGACAGGTAACATGTTATGTTGGAGTACAGCTACTATAATAATTTTAGCCTTTATTATTGAGTGGCCCTAAAATAATGAATTACAAAGTCTTTTAAGTGATTATAGTTAAAGCTCTTCATGGTTTTGTACTTATCTTTCTTAAAGGGTAAGGGCCAAAGCTGATCATTTTCTATCTTTCTAAAGACTTTAAAATAGTTGTTGGTGTACAACAAGCACTGATTTAGTACAGACTGAGTTCATGAGTGATTACTGCAGGTGCTGATAGAAAGCAGAGCTTAATTGTACAAATAGTAACCTTTTTTTGTTTTGACATTCATATCACAAAGAATTCTAACAATTTCAAGTTATAAGTGCTTGAAAATTATATGGTCTTTTTTTGTATCAAACTTAAACTTTTTTTTTTCATTTGGTACACATTTGTATGTACATTCTTGACTTGTGCTTTTTAAAATTTAGTTTAAGCCTTCCTTGGTGGTTTGCTGCTAATTTTTCCTGGATAACTGCCTCCTTGATCTGTATTCATAGATTTATGCTTCTTCATAGTGTCACCTTTCCATCAGTCAACCAGCCTATGTACAACAGCAGCCACCTCCCTTAAACATAGCAGATAGTCACTAAGCACCTACCCTGTGCACTCTAGGGATGGAGGATAGAGTAGTGGACAGAAAAGTCAAAAGTCAGTGTTTGTAAGCCCTCAAAAAACTTGAAATCTAGCTCTGTAGACATGCAGAGAAAGATCAAGAGAACAAAGTGTTGTTATGGAGTGTGGACTATTTGAATGTGGAAAAAAGTAGCCAGTCTCGGGGTTCCCAAGCAGAACCTTTCTGACCCCTTCAGGCTGGCACAGGAGAGGAGGCTGGTTGGAAGCCTTTAATCTTGAGTCTTTATCCTGCAGCATGACAGATGATACAGGTTGGTGCAAAAGTAATTGCAGGTTTTGTCAAAATAGCAAAACACGCAATTACTTTTGCAGCAACCTAATAGAAAGTGTCACCCAGGGCAGGTTTTGCAAATGTGGGGTTCCTGCTGGTCACACAGGACCTCGCATTCAGAAGGACCTTGAACTTGGTTGAATGTTTGCTGCTGCTGTTTTGAACGTCTTGATAATTTTTTAACAAGAGACCCCACATTTTTGTTTTGCACTGGGCCTTGTAAATTGCATAGGTGGTTGTGGCTTTACTTGAATCTGGGAGTAGAGAAAGCAGGTTGAGAAAAGAGCTTGCTACATTGTGTTCCACTTACATGAGGCTGATGGTAGAATTCTTTTGATCCCAAAGACTATTATTTTGGGGCTTTTTCTTTAGGATAATCAATCCTTTTTTTGGGACTGTAGCAGAGGCCACATTCTTCTATGGGAAGAAGTTTTGCATAACATTGCATACTACTTTATACTAACAATTACCAATGTATTCTTAATTTGGTTTCAGCTATTTGGATGGCTCTTTTGCAAAGTACATCCTGGTGCTGTTGTTTTTGCTATATTAGCAGCAATGTCAATACAAGGTTCAGCAAATCTGCAAACCCAGTGGAATATTGTAGGGGAGTTCAGCAATTTGCCACAAGAAGAACTTATAGAGTGGATCAAATATAGTACTAAACCAGGTAAAAAAA